GATTACAATAAAAATAATACAAATTAATAATAAAAACATGATAGACTAATGATAACATGAAATATTTAGATTTGTATGAGGTATTATATTTATATTAAATTTATATTGACCTAACAAAGGTTAACTACAGTATAAAATCTACACCATTGCAATAATTATAAGTGATATTGCAACTGATACTTTTTCGTTACTTCTAATAGATTTATGATTTATATAGAAATTTCTATAATTAATATACAATATATATTTATACGATTGTATATAATTATAAAATAAAATTATATAATTTATATATTTATATATAAATCAATTATTCTTATTGTTACTTTTTTGTTTTCAGGTTCATGGTGGTATTGGTGTGCCTCATATTTAGTGTTTTGTCAACCATAGACCAGTACAGTAACTTCGCGAACGAAACACTCTTTTGGATGGTAAGTCTTCATAACGTATGACTTTTTAATTGAGCCGTTTAATTGGATAGTTTTATAAGTTACAATACATCTATCTAGCTAGTCATCAATCTACCTAGTTTTAATTTTAGTTTTAATTAGTTTTATTTGAGTTGACTATAATTTTAGCTGGCAATTTTCATCATAATACTATATACAGGGTGTCCCAAAAATGTCTCGCAATCCGAAAGTGGCGGGTTCCTCAGGTCATTTGAAGCAACTTCTTCCTTTACAAAAATTTTCTCCAAGGCACCGTTAACGAGTTATTAACGAAAAACTGTGACCAATGAGAGGCGAGCTCTGCTGGCGCGAAGCGACCGAACCAATGAGCGGAAGTGGTCTTCGTGCGCTGGTTGGCTGGGCCTCCTCGCGTCAACCATACTCGATTCTTATTGGTCACTGTTTTTCGTTAATAACTCGTTAACGGTGACTCGGAGAAAATTTTTCTAAAGGAAGAAGCTGCTTCAAATGATCTGAGGAACCCGCCATTTCCGGATTGCGAGACATTTTTGGGACACCCTGTATAGGGTGTCTCTTAATAATACATGACATTCTATAATCAATACATTTAATATCGTAAAATAGCATAACAGAAACATGTGCCACTTTCAAAATAAACGGTCCAATTAGAATATGAATGACTTCATAAAACATATTGAAATAAAATTCATATATCATAAAAAAACATGTTGAATATATAATTTAGTACAGCTACTAATTAGTAACAATTGAAAATTGAAATTAACTCTCTTGACATTTGTATCAAAAATAAGAACTCGTTTACTAAATCAAAGTTTTAAACATATTTTTTTCTTTTTTTACAAACTTGGCGATTTTATTTAAAATATGTTTTAGACCATGTTCATCAAGCTGGATGATTAATGAGCATAATTAGAACTTCAAAAAACGTATTTTCAAAACTCATCGTCATCAAAGTTGCAAAATAAACGACTTAGTAATTATTTTACAAATAATTTTCAAGCAATAAAAAACAAATATATTGAATCATATAGTATACAATTATTATAATTGATTATATATCTATAAATCAATACTATTTTTGGCGTAAGTTCAAATATTCACGTTGGATAAATTTTCTTTGAAATTATAATTACGTGTCTTATAAAATCTATTATAAGAACAATTATCTGCACGAAAAATTGAAACGGAATTCGCTCCGATATGATTAAAAATTAATTGCAAGGTCGTAATTACGAGGACGAAGAAAATCTTTTACCGTGGTTTTCGGTCATAACGACAATCACAATGAATTTTCCCACGGAAATGTTATTATGTTCGCCGGCTTGCGTTATCACATGAAAAATTTAATAACCGTCTTTGAACCTTTGCATTCGCGCTTGTAAAAACGACGTTTCCTCCAACATTTTCAACTGTTATTCTTTCGTCAAACACGCATGGTTTGAGCTCAAACTGGAAAATTTACGATCGAATATTTTGAAGCAGACGATCTAAATCAAACATTTTGTGGACATTATTTCATTTATTATTATTAAAACCACCGTATTCTAATTATAATTTAAAAATATGAACATTAGAACAATGTGTTATACATGTAATAAAAATTTCAAGATTCAAAAAATTTAAACAATAATTAATTTTGACTTATTCATATTATGATAAAAATCGATTAAAGCCTAAATTTCTGGAATTTTGCAATTTTTATAAACTACTGTAAACTCATGTTATCAAGGTTTTAATTACTTTTGCAATTAATTAGTTAGTTTCATGTTATTATATATATAAAAATAATTATATATATAATTATTAGATATAATATTTATATGTGTAAATATTATATATTAAATCTATAATTATATTTATATTGCAAATA